ATCGAGATTCATGGATAGATGAAACAAAAAATTTGTAACACGGTAATTAAAAAGCAAACCTCGATGCAATTAAAAAGCCAAATACTCAATAAGCGAAATTTTTAAATTATTAATAAAATTTATCAATAAGCGAAAACCCATTCCTATAAAGCAAAGATTACGTCGAAAAAAACAAGCATGGCGGAAAATCTCACACGCCAGCCTTGAGCAAACGAACTAAAAAGCTAAAATTAATGAGAAAGTTTTTGTCTCGCGCAAATTTATTTGGCTAAGGCTGTTTTGCCGCAGTTTTTTACAGTGTGTCAAAATAGAATTTTGCTATTTTGCCGCAAATACTGCGGCAAAATAGCCACTTCGAATTTATTTCGTTGCTGAAAAATGATTTTCGCGGCCAATGCAGATCTCCAGGTCCAGCACGACGCAATAATTTCTTAAATCGTTAGAAGATGAAGTCAGCAACAGCGCCGCAAGCAAGAATCGCCAGTATGATGTGGGCGGCCAGCTTGAATCGCCCGCGCCGATCCCGCTCCATCATGGCAGCGACCAGTGCAAAGGTGGCCCACATAATGCTTCCCATCAGTAGCATGATAATTACGAGGACCAGCAACACGAACAGAATGAAGTCGTTCTTAAGAAAATGGTCGAGGCTATGCAGGATTGCCAGTTGCCTGGACACTGCCGGATCGGTTTGGGAACGCGTATGAGGCGTGGTCGTGGTCCGGGTGGCGCCAGTGCTGTCTGGTTCGCCTGCAGTGGGCGAAGGGACGGTGGGCATGGTGGACGGAGGAGCCGGACTATCCATCGTTGTTCGGGACATTTTTTCATCAACATGCTCGTTGTCAACACCAGCAATAGTTTGCAAAATCCAGCTACAAGAGGCATGCAATTCACCTTAATGCTTCTTTGACAAAACAGTATCAGCTATGCTTACGAACGGCAATAAACTATTTTCAAATATGTGCCAGATAACAACTAAATTTACAAACTGCTGTTACAATTCGTTGCATTTATTGACAGTTGAGGTAGTATGTTTTAAGCGGTCCAGTAAATCAAAGACCGACCGACCGACCGACCAGGATGTATTTGCTTACAGAAGTCTCCTGACGTCGGCAATCATGGTCTTAATTTCCTGAACTGTCGCTGTAGAGCAGTTCAACTGCGGACACGCAGAATGAGCCTTTGTCGCATCAAACACAGTCACCTGTTGGCCCCGGCACATCGATAGAAACAGCAACGCCGCTGTTAGCAAGGGAAATAGCCTTATCATTGTGTACCAAAGGTCCACTATGTACATTTATCTAAGGAGAAGAGTGCAAAGCTTGTTTCAGCATCGCGTTCAACGTTACGTATTGTACAGCTTAGGACAATTTTTTAATGGTCGCATGCCCAACATCGCCACATTCAGTACGAATGCCGCGCAGTGCACTGTACGACTGAGTTCAAAAAATTAATATTTGTTTCGTACAAGTGCACTGCACCGCTTGCGTACAGAATGCTGGGTATGGGGCTATGCGACCATATAGTCCTACATTGTACATGCATTTTGCGCATCTTTACCACTTACCTTTAGGCTATAGTAACAATTAGTGATTTATGACAGCTGGTGGCATCCAAGGCAATCAGAAAGCATTTGTTTCTTCGTCACAAATGTAAGATCGGAAATTACAGCAGAGAAAGTCGCTTATAATTTTAGAGTAGAGCGTTTTCGGTGTACTGCGGGGCAGTCTGATTGCTCCCTTCCGCGTTTACACTTTCGACTGCTTAGTGAATGGGTAGATTTTCACTCACAGAAGGATTGCTGAAAGGAAGACAGCATCAGTACGTTAATAAATACTACTCGGTACGTATACCGCGATAATAATCGATAATGGGTTGTTGCAAGGTAATTGATCAACGCGCGTTCTTTGCACTGCATGTTATCGTTATACAAGTCCTTCGCGAACCTTTCACTTATGCGGATCCCACGGTTAGTACTGGGCAAATTTTTCCGAGCATGTGTTTTGACTTGTATCCAAAGTATCCCACCGTTTCCCACAGTGTCCTCTTCGTATCCATCATGTATCCTCAGAAATTACTCCATTTCTACTCTACCGTATCCCAACACATCCTTGAACATTCTTTACGCATCCCTAATGTATAATACTCGACGGGTACCGTAAGGACACGTTCAGATACACTGACATACTGCGGTAACTGATGACCCCAAAGCTTAATCAGTAGAATACTTGAAGAATACTACTGTGCGAAACGATGGATTACTGTGGCTTCTGAAGTGATACACATCTAGATATCGTTTCACTTATTGCAAATGCTGTTAACACTCGCACAATTTCTGCTGCCGCGCAGGCGCAATAAATGCTTAAAAAATTCACAGAAACTTCAGTTTTTGTCCTACTTTCTTCCGCTACCTATGTATTCCAAGGGAATTTTATCGGCTACAAAACAGCGTTAAACAATTCCTTAAAAACATTGGCGTTGCAGAGTTAGAAAACAAAAAGGGGAAGCATGGAGAATCGCACTTTACTCATGTTTTCTGAATTTACGAAAGAACAGAATTTTGTTTTCGTATTCTGTCGACGTACGATGTTAGTTATTGTTATACGATACAAATTGATTCCTACAGAAGGGCTGGGATAAATTTTCTTAGAAAACTAAAATGAAAGTCTCGCAAGAAGGTGACTGTAAAAAAACACCTGTGCCGAGCAGCACTCGTCTCTGCGAACAGGTTTTGTCACTGAATGCGCTAAATCGCTTGTCGCCACAGACTCTACAGTAGTTCACTGTTTTCGGTTTTTCTCCGTTTTTCAATTTTTTGCTTAGGTTTCGCTACATTACTTCCCCTGGTTAGTTTTAAGATTTCACGTTTGGAAGTTTTTAATTGCTCGCGAGGTCGACCTCGGTACTACTACATATTATGTGATGTTGCCCATGTGGGATGATAGCTGGATGACTGTTTACGCGTTTATCACGGTTACTTCGCCTTAACAGCACGAGAATGCTCCGTTACGAATCTACGATTATGCTCTCTAATTAGCTCCAGATTTTCACGAGAGTATCACACGTTTTTTTGAACAGACATCTTAATGTCGACTGCCATAGCGTTGACGTCGACCCCTTATAACGCTATGCTTCTGCTGGGTTCGAGGATTAGCCTGGGTAAGCCTAACTGCTGTGTCGAAACTTTGTTGTTGCCTAAATTTTTACCCAATATCCTGCGGCTGCCATGAGTTATCATGAGACCCTGAAACTTATTTTGTAGATTTTGGAGTCGACTCCACATAGCACGACATCTTAGCTGCTATCAGACGAAGGAATTTAAACACTTCGAAAACCGCTGGGGCTGCTAAGTTGCTAACTTGCTTCAATAAGTGCATTAAACATGCTGCAGCATTTGATCTGTAGTTATCGATGGTGTCAGTGATCAGAATTCAGAATACGTCGAATCAAAATGGGTCGACCCAGGCATTTTAGCATTTTTGTTTTAATGTAATAAAAATTAAAATCGTCTTGATAAGCTAAACGTGAAAATTCAAATAGCAAAGACACTGGAAAGTGGGAAATAAAATTCCATTTGTGCCCGACTGCCCGTTTCCCTTTAATTGCTTAGACGGAGGTAACAATTAAAGACAGTTAGCCACCTTGTAGGGTGGGTGGGGGGTTAAAACATCGAGTAATTAGTCAAGTAATCAGGTCGGAGGAAAATTTCGACTGAAAGTAATATTAATGCGGTTGTGAGCATTAGACAGTTGGCTGATGGATAGCTAGCGTGATACGTAAATAGGTCAAGACAAGGATCTGATTACAATAGTGCAGTCTAGATAGAGAGGCCAAGTGATTGCGTCTACCTAATTTAACATCGATTAGCAAGCAAATCGTCCTTTAAATTCGATTAGCCGCGGTACTGTTGTTTGTTGTGGACGGTAGCGAGTAAGCGGAAGAGACAGCAGTGTTGCGGGTTTTTTGAGATAGAACAGGTCGCCATAATTGGGCATATGCGAAATCAAAGTCGGAGCAGGCGGACCTTCCGACGACGACTTTCCGATATCCCATTTGTGCCCGACTGCCCCAAACAAAACCGTTACCCGTTGGAGTAGGGATTCAGCGTGGTGGGGGCCGGCGTCCGGATGTAGCGCGTGTAGCAGTTGCTTTTCCATCGCCCTGCGCGCTGGATCGCGCGGTCTGGCACGTTGTTGCAAGCGGCGGTGGTTGCCGCGCCGATGCGGAAGCTGTGGGTGTTAATTCGGAGCTGGTCCGGGTGCCCCTCCAGGAGACGATGGAGGCAGGCTTCCACGGAGCGCCTGGTCAGGTATCTGCCGTCCTGATGGATGAGGAGCGGCCGTGCTTCAGCTGTCGGGTTGAACTGAGCAAAAGCCATATACTTCCGGTAGGCCTGCACGGGACACACGGAACGACCGGTCGCCGTCAGCGCTACGGAGTGGCCCTGACCGGTTGGATCGGTCTTCGTGACTTTTAATTGGATGAGGACTCGGCTATCGTGGTCTTGCGCGTCTGTTGACATCAGAGTGCGCCGCGGATCGTAGCGATTGGTAGCGGGGCACGTTACTTCTCCGACGCGAAGGTAGCCAAAGTACATGAGGGAGAACGTTGCCCAATACAATGACTTTCGTGGTGGGACATGCTACTGGAGCGGATGGCGTCCTTCAGTTGCCGCATCATCTCCAGCGTGACAGGTTGGCGCTTGTCCGCGCTGGATGGGGCCAGTCGCCGGTAGCCTTGCAGGGCGCGAGTCACAATGTCGTGGCCGGTTGGGGATGTCATGCCAGCTTCACGGTGGTAATTGTTGATGCCGGCAAGGTAAACGGTTACGGTCCGAAGGGATTTTCTTGCGGAATACAGATGCGCGACGTATTCCGCAGTGATTTCTGGCGTCGCTGGGAGTGGCTGAGCAAATCTGGAACTGCAGAATACTGAGAACTGTTTGACGGCAGTTACGTACGTCTGCCTGGTGGAGCTGGCAATATGGGCGTGCAGCAAGTTGTTTAGGCCGCGTGTGCGCTGTATGCTATTAGAAGCTGCGGGAAGATGTCCGGGCATGGATCCGGACGTTCCGACGCTGTTGGTGCAAGCGCTCGGAATCTGCTTCGCTGAAAACGAGATAGGGTGTCAGCAATCGCGTTATTAACGCCGCGTATATGCTTTATAGTAAAAGTCATATTAGCGCAGGCAGCGGCTTTTAACATGCGGCGCATGAGATCTAACACGCCAACGTTGGTTGAGCGTAGATTCTCCCAGGCCAGGGTGGCGCCTTCGTTGTCGCAGTGGAAGATGATCCGCTTTCTTTGCAGCTTAGAGCCCCAAACAATTAGGCTGAGGAGTATCGGTATCAGCTCGAGGTACTCGATGCATGGCTTCCGCTGGATAATCCACGGTGGCCAGCGCAGTTGGAACCATGACCCATGAAAATATGCACCAAGCCCGAGAGTACCAGACGCGTTTGTGTAAAGGTCCAGGACGTCAGATCTTGTCCAGTCCGGCTGGATGAAGGACGCGGTGCCGTTCCAGGCTGGGAGGAATTCTTTCCACCATTCCAGATCCTTACGGAATTCACCGTTGAGAGCGATGAGCCTTTCGTGGTAGTTGTCGGTTAGCAGGGCGATCATGCGTCGAGTAAATAAGCTGCTCGCTGGGACGCATTTGGTGGCAAACGTGAGTGTTCCGATAAGGCTTTGGAGCTGCTGCTTGGTGCAGTGGTCACGGTTGCTCCATTCTTCCAGCGCTTCTTCGATAATCTGACGTTTATCGTCGGGGAGGCTAAGGGTTTGTCGGACAGAATCTAGCCGGATGCCCAGGAACGTCAGCTGAGTCGCGGGCCCTTCCGTCTTGTCTTGTGCCAAAGGGACCCCGAGTTCACTGCACGTCTGAGTCATGGTGGACATCAATGTGCCGCACTGATTACTTCCAGGTTTTCCAGCAGAGAAGTAGTCGTCGACGTAGTGGAGCATGCTGACTAGACCGGTGCGGTTCGACACGATCCAGTGGATTGCGCCAGCGAATTGCTCGAACACGTACGGCGATGCCCTACACCCGAAAGGCAACACTACATCAAAGTAAAACTCACCGTTCCACTGATAGCCGAGGAGATTCCACTCCGCCGGGCGTACCGGTATCAGTCGGAAGGCTGATTTTACATCCATTTTGGCCATGAGTGCGCCTCTGCCGAGTTCCGTTAGGATGGATACTGCATGGTCAACGGTGCAGTATTCCAGAGGAAGTTGCGTGATGTCAATGTAATCGTTTACACTGTCGTCGTGCGGCTGGGATAAATCCAGGATGGTTCGAATGCTACCGTCTTTCTTTGGCCGTGCGCCTAGGGCGTTGCAGACAAAGTGCGGCAAGGGTGGGTCAGGAAAAGGACCGATGGTATGACCGGCATCGACCTCTTTCCGTATGGTACGCGTAACCGCAGCGTGGTGCTTGCGTGTTGAGACGGCGTTTGGTGGGGAGCGTGCTTTCTGGGGACCGTTGTAGTAGATAGTGCAACCGTTTTTAAGTGTGGTGGATATAAATGACGTTAATGTGGAGTCAGGATGTTGAGCAAGCAGTCTGGCAAAGGCGCTAATTTGTAGCGGTGTATTTGCCTTTGCCGGCACTGTTACTTCTATATTTATCCAGCTTCGGGCAGGTGGCCGTCCGATGCTTGCGGTCACCACAGCTGGCGCAGGCGTGGACTCTCCCGGCGCGGCACGGTGTTGGGCAGTTTCCGTAATTATAGTTACGGCAGATGTCCCCGTCTGCGGCGGGAGCGGCACGAAAGGGCTGCCTGTATCCCGGTTGACCTTTCCGCGGCGCGGGGCAGCTGCTGATGTAATGGTCTGTCCCTCCGCAGTTTCGGCAGCGATCGTCTTTCTGCTTCGGCTTTTCCGGGCGCGGGGACGGTTTGCGTTTGGCGTGCGATGCGTTCTGGATGCATTCAATGTACGTATCTTCGTGTTGATGGGTCCACTCGTCGAAATCGTACGGATGTCCAGTCATGTGTGCGCGGAACTGCCGATCGTACTCGAGCCAGTTGGCGGTCGCAACCCCACGCTCGACGTACGATGCAATTATGTCCATGTACTTGTAGAAGCGGGTGCTTAGTTCCGGTGCAATGTGAGAGCGGTAGCTGGCGAACACGCCGAAAGCGCGCATCCATGATGTGAAACAGGTAATCCGGACTTTCCCGTCCTCCGGCTTAATGGTGACCTTTCCGTTATCGAACACCATTTTGGAATCCAGTTTCTTTGGTTTTTCGACGCGGTTCTTCAGCAGGAATAAGTCCAGATCAATGTATTCAGTGTGGTCGAGCAGCTTCTTCACGAGCTTTTTGTCCAGCGACGGAAAATGGTGCGGAAAGGGGGGAATGGCTGCGTTTCCGGCGACAGTTCCCCGCAGAGGCCCCAGTCGGCTGAAAACGTCTGGACGTCTCCCAAGGCGGTCCCCGGCCGGCAGACGTACTGGTAGTGTGTCCGATAATTCACTGCTAACAGATGATTGCGAGCTGCTACGCTTACCTTTTTCTGGACTGCGTTTACGCTTGCGGTTAGTGGAGTGTCCGATGTGATCAGTCTGGTGCACGATTCTTCCGAAGTCGTCACCAATCTGGATCTGCAGGTTGGAGGATGGAGACAGTGGACGAGGTGCCGATGGATCTGGAACTTTCTCCGGTGCTGATGGCGGCAGAACAGGTTCCGGTGCTGGTGGTGCTGGTGGTGCTGTCTGTGGCAGCGGTGGGGGTGGTGGTACAAGGCGCTCCATTGCGGCGAGAATTTTATCCAGCTGTTCCTCATGCTTTTTCTGCTGCTGCGCGAGCGATTGCACCGTCGGTTCCGGAGCTTCCGCGTCGCTCCCTGTGGTGGGGGGCTTACTGGCGGCGGTAGTCCGTTTCGCTCTGTTGGATGTCGCGGGCGCGCTCTTCGCTGGCTGCCGTCCTCGGTTGCCACGTCCAGTCATTTCTGGGGTGTAAGAAATTAGCGTTAAATTGGCTTGAGATAATCGGATGTGGGTTTGGGGATCAGAAGTTTTTTTTCGCTGAAGGTCACTGAGTACTTGATTGATATGCTATTGCCTTAGGTGCGGTGTGCAAAACATCGAGCAATTAGTCAAGTAATCAGGTCGGAGGAAAATTTCGACTGAAAGTAATATCAATGCGGTTGTGAGCATTAGACAGTTGGCTGATGGATAGCTAGCGTGATACGTAAATAGGTCAAGACAAGGATCTGATTACAATAGTGCAGTCTAGATAGAGAGGCCAAGTGATTGCGTCTACCTAATTTAACATCGATTAGTAAGCAAATCGTCCCTTAAAAAATTCACAGAAACTTCAGTTTTTGTCCTACTTTCTTCCGCTACCTATGTATTCCAAGGGAATTTTATCGGCTACAAAACAACGTTAAACAATTCCTTAAAAACATTGGCGTTGCAGAGTTAGAAAACAAAAAGGGGAACCATGGAGAATCGCACTTTACTCATGTTTTCTGAATTTACGAAAGAACAGAATTTTGTTTTCGTATTCTGTCGACGTACGATGTTAGTTATTGTTATACGATACAAATTGATTCCTACAGAAGGGCTGGGATAAATTTTCTTAGAAAACTGGAATGAAAGTCTCGCAAGAAGGTGACTGTAAAAAAACACCTGTGCCGAGCAGCACTCGTCTCTGCGAACAGGTTTTGTCACTGAATGCGCTAAATCGCTTGTCGCCACAGACTCTACAGTAGTTCACTGTTTTCGGTTTTTCTCCGTTTTTCAATTTTTTGCTTAGGTTTCGCTACATTACTTCCCCTGGTTAGTTTTAAGATTTCACGTTTGGAAGTTTTTAATTGCTCGCGAGGTCGACCTCGGTACTACTACATATTATGTGATGTTGCCCATGTGGGATGATAGCTGGATGACTGTTTACGCGTTTATCACGGTTACTTCGCCTTAACAGCACGAGAATGCTCCGTTACGAATCTACGATTATGCTCTCTAATTAGCTCCAGATTTTCACGAGAGTATCACACGTTTTTTTGAACAGACATCTTAATGTCGACTGCCATAGCGTTGACGTCGACCCCTTATAACGCTATGCTTCTGCTGGGTTCGAGGATTAGCCTGGGTAAGCCTAACTGCTGTGTCGAAACTTTGTTGTTGCCTAAATTTTTACCCAATATCCTGCGGCTGCCATGAGTTATCATGAGACCCTGAAACTTATTTTGTAGATTTTGGAGTCGACTCCACATAGCACGACATCTTAGCTGCTATCAGACGAAGGAATTTAAACACTTCGAAAACCGCTGGGGCTGCTAAGTTGCTAACTTGCTTCAATAAGTGCATTGAACATGCTGCAGCATTTGATCTGTAGTTATCGATGGTGTCAGTGATCAGAATTCAGAATACGTCGAATCAAAATGGGTCGACCCAGGCATTTTAGCATTTTTGTTTTAATGTAATAAAAATTAAAATCGTCTTGATAAGCTAAACGTGAAAATTCAAATAGCAAAGACACTGGAAAGTGGGAAATAAAATTCGAATTGGAATTAAAATTTGGCGCAAGTGGCTTGATGTCTTGTAAGACAGCCGGAAATGGGCGTGTTGCGAGATCGTGATTGGCGCTGCCTAGCCGGCGCACAGGAAAAGCCGATGTAAATCGAACGTGAAATTGTGCGAGTGTTAAAGCGGATACTCCTTTGAACTGGCATATCTAACGGTATCCTCACAGTATCTTGGATTTCCAATTTACGTAGGAACAGCAATATTTCAGTTTCACAATACCCTGTATTTCCAGAATGTCATGTACATTCTATAACATACAGCAAATCTTACATACCATCGGAATCAGTGTGCCAGACTGGAATGATGCAAAATCGATTGGCAAAAGTTGTACCGTACCACCACATATACGGTACCAGTCAATGGCAGTCCCATAGGTATCATTTATGTTCTTAGATATGTGTATTAAATACCATTTCCAGCAACGGATTGTTGTATGATAGGCGACGAGCTGCCCTGCTACGGTCGATATATCTTTCCCATGCAGCGGTAGGACTAACCTAGACCTCCATGTTGATTAACCGCGGTGCTGCTTCCGGAATCATTACTGCATAGCTTGATGATTCCCGTATTTTTCCTGTACTCCTGCTCTCTGATGTCTGTGTTGACTTAACCTCACACTGCGTTATTCATCGTTGTTTCTTAGCCGTGTACTAATTGAAAGATGCTTGGCATGAATGGCAGCGGTTTCGTTCGTTGCACGCTGGGACTACTCCTGGTCGAAGGGTTCGCCATAGCGTCCGCACCAGCAGCCAAGGAGACACCAACTGCTGCGTTATGAGGCCAGCGGGATCGTTCAGCATCTACTACAGAGAAAAGCCAGGTTTTGGCGGATTGCGTTGTCATTATCAGGTATTGCCAGTTAAGCCTTTCTGTTTGTGCTGTGCTGCAAAGCCTTTGCTTGACTCTAATAAGAAGCAAAACTGAATCTGAAGTTTACTTCAAGTAACAGTAAATACGGCAGATGTTGAGATTTACTATATTAATATATTTTTTACTATACTGATATATTATAGATCGATAGCATTCATTAGCGAAATTTTTTAGGAAAAGTAGGACCCGAAATTTCTTGACGGAAGTCATTTATAGTAATTTAATTTTATAAATATGCACGAACAAAAAATTTTGCCCTACAGAGGAGCTGAGCTCTTATTACGGATAACACCTTTTATTTATTGACATCTTTCTCTGCAACAGTAACGTTTTCGAAATTTAATAAAATAATACATTTATGGCATCTTTCGCATTACTGTACAAAACGAGATCCTTCTTCTTGACATTATTTCATGTATTCTTACGTATTCCACAAATACAAAAATACAGACGGGATACCAGGAATGCTACTCCAGAAAACAACACAGAAAAACAAGTGCCGCCGTTTTTGATTAGGGAGAAACCGTCCATAACAAAAAATCGTACAACCTCTGCCCCATTGTTATAATTGTAGCCTTTTTATTAGCAAGAACATCCATCTGCTGGCTGACGCGATCCATCAAGATCAACGTTCAGTACGCACCACAGCCGGTACCATGAACACGCCTTCCCCGCCGCCTACCGTGAACTGTTCTGTCCCTGTCTACCAACCACCACGAACTTCTCATCCGGATAAGCACCAGCCGGATGCAGTTGTCAG